TAGAATACATGATGATAAGATATATGGTGACTGATCAGCGTTTTGGTTTTTAGGTTTTTTTGTAATGTAGGATCCTTCCAAGTGTCTCACTACGTGGTGATGAAAATCTTTGTTTTTGTGCAGAAGTATGTAAAATCATTCAGTTTTTCATGCTCATCAGTTTTAGGTACGCCGACGGTTTAAAATAAATACTGTGATTGTTTACCTGCAGGGACAGAAGTGCTCCTGAAGAAGACGTCATTGCAGGTAGAATTGCTGCATTCAAAAAGGTCAAAGTGCGTCTTCTTAGCAGCAGAGTCGGTGTGTAGATGATCCCTTTTCAGACTATGTTGTTTTATTTATCACTGCTACACAAACAGCATCTCTTTAGATTATTTTTGGAGGCGGGTTCGTCTTATAGAGGCAGAGAATGGAGGAGTATCATGTAGTGACACTGAACCAGAGACTCGCTGCTGTTTGCTTGTTTTACACCCTCGTTATTGGCTCAACCCTGTAAAGAGCAGTAGGTTCAACCAGAAATCACATCTATTACGTTTGTCTCGTTTGTCATCTGCAAAGTAGACGTTACTTGAACAAACACGCCGGATTAAAATGTGTGATATTTGAGTTTAAAGCAGCAGCAGCAGGATGATTTACTCAAATCGTGCCTCGTTCTCACACTTGAACGATTTCTCTTCAGGTGGTTCTGACAGCTTTCTGTTCCCTCCCAGTAACCTGCTGCTGAACTTCTCTGCCCATCACCTGTTAAGATGATGTATCACGAGATTACTGCCTCCAATCCATCTACTGTCATCTCATCTCCGTCTCATACGGTGACTCAGGCTGATTGATGTGCAGAAGATTGTCTGCCTGGACTTTGATACCGCTCGGCGCTGCTCGGCTGTGTGTCACACTCGGCTCTGAAACGCTGAAAGGATTAACCGTGTTCACAATTCGTTGTTTTCCTTCTTTAACCCTCCGGTGGGAGATGAAAGAGCCTAAGTTCAGATGTGACGACGTGAAAGACTGACTGCGTTTGTCCTGAAATACAGGAGCCTTTGTGTTTCTGATGCATCCTGTGATTTAAAAAAAAAAAAAAACTAGAGTGAGAAAAGGTTTGTCAACAACATACATGACTGTGTAGTCCCTCTGTGTGCGCCGAACACAGAGCTGCTTGTTGGTAGAACAGCCAGGAGGGAGATAGTAGCTGAGACAATGATTGAACTATCCCAGTGCGTTTGAATTATACATGGGAGTTGTGTTTCAGGCTGGACTTTCCCCTTCCAGGAAATAAGTCAGGTTCAAACACTATCATCGCTCTGAGCTCACTGGAAACATTCTCCACCGTAAACCTCCACACTGGTTTGTCAGCAGGTACCCGACACACCTGCTCACTGGTTTTTATCATTTCCAACGTTGTGGAGCAAAGCTGAAGACATCAGAGCTACGACATAACACATGTGGAATCGTACACCACACAGGAAAGGGTTAAAGATACCAGAACATGTCATACATTAGATTATATTTAGATTTCTAAACACTTTCCCTTAATTTGCCTGATTGGGTTGAGGAGTCTTTACTCGTCTTGTGTTTGTTTATCCGTCATGAAGATCGGCTCAGTCGCTCTGGAGCTTTCTTCTCCAGTTGTCTTGTGATGGAAAGTGATCTCCATGACAACCGTGCAGACCCCCTCGCCGAGGAAGACAAAACTCCGGCTGGAACCCGAAGCAGCCGAGGATCTTCTGAGAAGCGTATGTTGGTGCTTTTTGGTTCAGGCTGGTTTTCTGAGATCAGAAACGACACTTTAATTGTGTGATTTTAGAGGTTTCAGTTAAATAGTTGTGCAGGTGAGGTGGAGACACAGAGGGAGATGATATTGTTCTGAAGGGTCAAAAATGTCAAATACAAAGCAAGACACAGACCATGTAAGTGAGTTTAAAAAAAAGTTTTAAAAATATCAGAAAATATGGGAGAAAGAGCACCAAAAGAAGCTGAAAACTGTGGAGCTGTGTACTGTAAAAATATCAGCAAATATCTGTTAAATAATTATATTTTAAGCAGATTCAAACAGTAATTTGGTGTAATTTTATAGTTACAAGAATCGTAAAAGACAGCTATCTATATAGACATTGTTTACAGTTTTGGCCTGTTTTTTGAGGGTTTAAATGTAAATTAAACCATTTTTCTGTGATTTTACTCGTTATTATCTGTAATTTGACAAAACAGAAGATCTGTAAGAATAACAGTTTAAAAAGATTTACCAGTTTTAAATTTAATAAACATAATTTCTCTTTGAAATAATGGAAAATATCTACAATATAATGACTCTTTTTCTGATTTAATAAAGTCAAAAAAGGAATTTTTCAGTCAAATGTTGAAGAACAAATGACCAATTGGGACATTATTTACAGTTTGGACCTGTATTTTACATTAAAATTATTACTTTTTCCTGTGAGTTTACTTTTTATTCACTGTAGTTTAACAAAACAGGGAAAATCTGTAAAATACCAGTAAATAGTTTTGTTTATTATTATTTTGTACAGCATTCTCCATCCTGATCCTGCAGACTTCTTATATTTGTATGAGGCCTGGTTTGATTCAAGATTCAGGATTAACTTTATTGTTCCAGGCGTGGGACATTTGTCACCCCTGCTGCCATCAACACAAGCAGACACAAACAGGGAAAGCCCATAGATAGAATAAATAAATATATACATCAGGTAAAAGGAGAATAAAAATGAACATCATAGTCTAACTTCATGCGTCCACAACGTGGCCTTTTTTGGACTATTTGTTGTATAACTGGTCAGACTACACAGCAGTGGAGTGACTGGTTTTAGATGCTTTACAGTTATTTAATGCTTCCAGATCAGTAATAAATGATCACAGTACAAACTCTACGTTGTGAAGCTGCATGTTTGTGAAGGAAGCTGCTGTGTAACGTCGGCCAGCGCAGAACACGTTGTCTTTTCAGCTGCGTGGCTCTTTATTAGGCAGGAAGGACTCCTCCCTTCAGCACAGAGGTGCAAACTGAAGGCCTTATTGTCAGGGGAGGCTTTTCCACTTTCAGCAACTCTCCAGCTCATGTCAGCGAGTCATTAATAAACGTTGGTTGGATTCTATGGAACCATGAATCCAGATGATTTCCAGGGGCGGGGCTCTTCCTGATTAATACAGAAGCAGCTCAGAAGTGAAAAAAATAAAAATAAAAATCAGGCATTAAATGGAGATGTTCTGTATGTAAATAAGGTCCTTTAGCTGTTATTATTATCAGGATTTAATTCATAATCTTCATCTTTTATAAAGTTAACTAATGTTGTTGGTTTTGGTTTTATAGGTGAGTTATTAAAAAAATGCATTTATCAGGAATTTATTTAACATTCATGGCAGCAGACTTGATGAACTAATTAAAACCCCTTCCTTATTGACTTAATTAGTAAATATTTATTCATGCATTTATGGCAACAAAAGACAAATGGATTCACAGCATCAGAAGATTATTTTATAGAGATTTATGAAACATTTTAGGAACGTTTTGAATATTTTCTAACATCAGAAGTGGTGTCCTGCTGCCGTGCTGCTCTACTGAAGGAGGTGTTGTGTAAGAAGAGGTAGAGGTGGTGGTGGTGTGCCAGAGCTGCACTGGTCTGAGGTCAGTGAGGCTTTCAGTCATGTAAGGTGTGTGTCAGGTGACTGTTCATGTTGCACTGGTGTCCAGGTCACACACAGGAAGTTCATCCAGTGGTTTAACATCCTCCTGCTCAGTTTAGACAGAAACATTCTTTATTTTTGAACACAACACATCCAGAATCCAAGCGTCCTACAAAGTTCGAGCAGAGCATTAAAAAGAGACACCAGGCTCATCCAGACGAGGCGGTCACATGTCAGAGCGGCTCCGGTTCCGATCCAGAGGTGACGGATCCTCCACAGCAGCGTCCGGCTCCGCTGCAAGGGGTTAATCCAAGTGTCAAAAGAGCAGGGCTGGGGGACGTGAAGTGGGTGAGAGCCATCTGTCAGCCGCAGCGGGGGCTGCTGGGGACGGTGACATGTGGACGGCGCGTCCGTGGCCCTTTAAGAAACTCCATGTTTTCGCTACATGATGCGTCAACATAAAAAGCGGATGATGCTGTTATGTAAAAACATGCCGAAGTGGAGCGTAGTTTGCAGGAGCTCTGCCCGTAGCCTCGCTTCGTCTTTCACACCGCCGATGTAGTTTGACGTTTACCGAGCGGAGGGTTTTTACGCGTGGCGCACGGAGCGGCGCAGTTTGGTGCGAGAGAGAGAAAAAAAAAAGGAGAGAGAGAGAGAGAGAGCGAGGCTTCAGCAGATCAACTCAACATGAGTCGCCCTCCACACTGTTTTCCTCCTTCACTTGCGGGAAGCGTACACCTGACGCATCTCTCCGTCGCCGTGTGGAACTGATCTTCCTTTTTTCTTTTTTAATCTCCAAACAGCACCGTCCTCCGCTGGCTGATTTTCCGGACGACGAAGCGGTAAGACACAAAAGCTCTCAACTCTTATCGCCTCTCGGGCTAAACTGAAAGTGTCAGGCAGGACGGGATCGAGCGATGAGGCGGCTCGGGTCGGGATAATGTGCCAGCCATGGACGCGCACACGGATCCGTCCTGTTCTTAGCCGTCCACAAACGTCTAAGGCAACTTTTTTTCGGAGCCGTGTGCCGTGTGTGTGCCGCCACTCGTGCAGGTGGCGAAGCGGCGTTTAATCGGCTGAAATGCGGCCAGAGCCTCGACCCGGAGCCTCTCCGGCTCGTGATCGCAGAAAATGTCAGAGAGGAGGCAGCAGCAGAGTTGGAGGCTCGACTCTGGAGCAGGAGTTTGTGTTTGTGGCTCTGCTGGATGAACCCAACAGAACTAAATAAATAAAGAACTACTGTGGAGAGTTCAGGTTCTGTTGCGACGACGGTTGTGTTTGGATGCAGAGAGGAAGCAATTAGTCACTTAATTGATTCTTCAAAGCTGATAATCCATCAGCAGCTCGTGTGAAATGGAAATGTTTGCTGTTTTTGTGCCAGCAGATATCAGAATATGTGAGGATCTTTTGGGTTTGGGGGAGTTTTGAGGCAGATGTAGTCATGTGACTGACTTTACTCCAGTTTTGTGTCACTAAAACCTTCTGATCCACTGTTTAATGGAAATGTTGCGCTTTTTACTTCTCAAAAACTCAAATGAAGCTAAAATAGTTTAATTTAAAGGCTCTGGACGGACCGTTCTGCTTGTGTAACATCTACTTCTGATGCGTTTTGTTGGTCATTCTTCTGTATTTTGTTGGTATTTCCACTGAACCGTCCACACACTTCCTCCGCCGCTCTTGCTTCAACAAATCAAGGCTCTAACTTTTGCTTTTTCTGCCGTATTTTTAAACTAAACAGTCAGTAAACAAAGGAAATGAAACGGCATAATCTGGGTAAACTGATCATCTCCTGCGCTAAAAGGTCACCGGAAAGTACAGGCTCCCGTACGGGTCAGAACACAAGTGGCCTGGTGGGTTCCTCGCTATAATGGTGTTTGTAAAAGCCTCTTGTAACCAGAACAGGCCTGACAATAGAGCTCCGGTTTTGGAGGTCGTGGTAGATTTGTGTCCAGTCAGTTCTCCACAGAGAGCCTTGACAGGCCTGTCAGGGCCGCATGTTGAATGCCCACACGTGAGCTATAAAGCTGGATATCAATCCCGGACATAATCCCATTATTCCTGAAGAACTGTCCCGTTGTTGCCGTACAGGGAGGAGGAGGAGAAACACGCCGACCTCTGGCCGTCCCACAGGAGACAAAACGCTGGCGTGCGGACCACATGTGGTCAGAGGACGGCCAGGCGGGACGTTTCATAGAATAGGAGGCGGCGGTTCGACTACAAACGGAGCATCATGTCGCTATTTTTAACCCATTAAAATATACTTTAGTGGAGGGGAAGACCGACAACAACCTGCCACCCACGGCTACACCGGAAAGTACACCGACAGTTTTCCAAAACACCACCACGCTGTAGTTCTCATCACACCAGAGCCACTACCGTCGAACAGAAACCCTCTGTTTGTTGATACTCCCTCCATTTTTCAGGAACTTCATCGGTGCCATAGCGTCGGCTTCATTTGGTTTGGTTTGCATGTGGCTGCTGCTTCCCTGTGTTGTAAATGTGGAGAAGCTCAGAACAGAAAATTACACTTACTCCTATTTTTAAGGCTCATAAGCACCCACCAAGCTCCCTGCTGCACCATCCAGATAAAAAGAAGAGAGGAGTTGATAAAAAAAAAAATCCTCTGAGTTGCCTTCAGTTGCTACCCAGAGAGCAGTAATCGAGTATTATTATTTCACTCCCCTCGCCTCTGAAACCAGCCCTGATTGAAGGTCTTAAAACCAGACTTGGGCTCAGAGTGGATCTTTCAACATCACACATGTGTTTTAATAAAGCTTATTTCTAAACTCTTAAATCTTAACCCTCCGAACCCCGACGCCGGAGATCTGTGGAGCCTCGGGGCAGACGCTCGCTCGCAGGTGATCCGACGTTAGCGAGGAAAGAAAGATGATAGAAACCTCTGAAGACCTCCAGAATAAAGCGCTTGTGGTGGTCGGGGTGATGTGCCGTCATTAATAACTCTAATTATCTGACTTTGTTGTCGTAATGAGGTTGTGTCCTGAGATTTCTGCTGTTGTTTTTTGGCTGAGAACAGTTTCATCACCGTGTAGATAAGCTGCTGTGCATTTCACACGGCATTCCCCTCTTCTGCTGCTGCTGCCACCTTCGCTACAGGAAATAACAAACTCCACACCAACACACTGACGGGTTTTGCCAGAGATTTGAATCTTGCCTCCCTTTGTGCAAATGGCTCCACCGGTTCCCTCCACGCTGTTGAGTCGGGCCGCCATGGCTTTGGTTCGGCACCGCTGAGGATAATTCTGATCGGTGTGTAGAAATCCAAACGGATAGTGAGGTGTGGTCAGACCGTTCTACAGACCAGAAAGTCAGTTGTAATAAAGCCAGCAGCCTTCTAAAGCGCTACCACAACGTCTGGAGAGCTTTGCACTTTGCTGTTTTACAATGCTAATGAGTTCTAACTCTCAATCCTGCGTGGAGGAATATTCCTCTGGACTGAATGAGCAGCCAATCTTGTATCTCAGGATTAGCCGAGCCGCGCCGTAGCCCGTAGTCCTCTAAAAGCCATTAGCCGGCCCCTCTCTTCCCCTCTCTCTTTCCCTGACTCACCCTGGCACGCTGCCGAGACACAGCTGTGAAAATTACAGGTTTGTTTCATGGAAACATAGAAGAAGAGGAGGCAGGGCTGGTGTGGAAGGAAGGACGGGAACAGAGAGCCACAGACTGGCATCAGCTGTCCACCGGTCCACAGCTGCAGTGGATGTGCAGCTTTCAGAGTCGGGGTCTCGCTCGCTTCTCACACTCACTGGGATTGTTTACATGGGGGAGGTGTGTGTGCACATGTGTGTGTGCATATGTGTGTGTGTGTGTGTTTCGGGGAGGGGGACACTAAACCCTGTTTGGCTGCAGCCAAACAGAACAGAAGCTCTCACTGTGACTGACAAACGTCAGGCTCCTTCAGTGAAAAGCACATGGCACCGAGCGTCCTTCGGTTTGGCAGATGCTAAAAGCATGACTGAGGCCCTGGCAGGTGGGCAGGCGGGCGGGCGGCCGGCCCCCTCCTCGCTGCTTCCTCAGCTGGGCTGGAAACCCAGCGACAGGCCTCCTCTATCAGAGAGTCATTGTTCACGATGATGATGACAATCTCTCACTGTCTCCGCTCACCGTGCTATCTCAATCCATCACTCTCTTGTCTTTCGCCTGCCCCCCATCCCCCCCTCGCCGCCGCCGCCGTCTCTCTCCTAATTTTCCTTCCCCCTTGTTTTCTCCTGCTCTCTCAGAAAGTCCGTGTCAAACATCTGTATCTCCGAGTAGCTGTCAAGCAAAGGAAAGCGGGAGGCTGAATGTGGAGAAATTGCCCCTCTGATTTCCACTGAGTTTGACTTTTCTGCTGCTCGTTGTGATGCGAGGTGCGAGCTTCCTCCTCTGCTGCTTCGATCTTTTTGAATTCAGTCTTCATCACTATCTCTCTCTATCTGGTTTCTCTCTTCTTCTTCTTTTTTTTTTTCTCCTCTTCTCCCTCTTTGCTAGTCAGGCTGTCTGGCATCTTGCCCCGTCTCTTTGAAGAGGAACAGTAGAAGGAGATAATTACACTTCCTGTCCTGTATCTGCTCTGTGCTGCTGAACTGTCATCTTTACATCTGTAGGCTTCGCGCCGGAGCCCAGAACAGCTTACTACCTGTTCTGCTGCGGAGAAAACTCACCGCTTCAAGCTCGACGTGTCTTTCATGTGTTCATGACAAACTCTCTTTTGAAGCCGCGTTTTGATTCTATTTATGTGCAATTAAGCAGATTTCCCATCACCGTCTGCAGCGCGCTCTGATCACAACATCCACCTTCACCTGCTTGTGCGCCGTCGGTGTCTCGGCTGTTTGGAGGCTTGTGGCTTGTCCTCCTCCTCCTCCTCGTTGTTTCCTATCGTGTTTCACAAGTCGTTTCTGATCTGAACATATGCTTTTGTCAATTCCAGATTTTATTTTCGTGTTTTTTTCTTATTTCTGGTCTTAATTTTGACCTTAAATTCCCCATTTCACACAACGACAGCAGCAGCAGCCCTGTCTGGTGTGGATAAGTTATCACAGAAAACAAGTCAACAGCCACGCATGACACAAATGCTTCAGTCTGTCTGTCACACACACTCCTCAGATAACCGCCGGTTAATGCCACAGGGTTCAGCCAAACAATGACAGGTTGGGTTTTTGCGGTTAGACGGGATCAGGCCTCTGGACTGACCTCACGTATGATTCATCGCTCTGAAAACAGTAATGATTATAAACACGAGGCTTCCTCTTCTACAGTGTACATCAGCGGCTCTCTTCGTTTCTTGCTAATGAATCCCTATTCGCAGGTGATTTAGAGGCTTTTCATTACATCGTCGTCGCCCTGCGTAACCGCGGCCGCGTCTCCAAAGTGGGTATCGTCTCTTAAACGCCGGCGACCCGCTCGATGCTGCCAAATGTCGTTGGCGCTTTGACAAATTGACCATCACTTTCACATCAGCGGCTTTCAGCTAACATGATGCCGACGACACCTTGGCCGAGGTTTATACCATAGACCAGGGGTGTCCAATCCTGGTCCTCGAGGGCCACAATCCTGCATGTTTTAGATGTTCCCCTCTGATTCAAATGATCAGGATCGTTATCAGGCTTCTGCAGAGCTTGATGATGAGCTGATCATTTAAATCAGGTTTGTTGGAAGAGGGACACATCTAAAACATGCAGGATTGTGGCCCTCGAGGACCAGGATTGGACACCCCTGCCATAGACTGTATAAAAGATGGACGTAGCAACCGACCCTGAAAAATGAAGCCAACCCGGAAGTGTCAGAAACCTGCAATATCACTACGTCCACTAGCTGCTGGCTCCACAAAGCCCTGGCTCCCATA